TACTGCGAGGCCTGCCGCGTCGGCTACGGCAGGCCCAAGACGGTGGTGGAGAAGGCCCGGCAGAGCGGCCACGCCGAGCGGGAGGCGCCAGGCCCCAGCTCCGGCCACGGAGAGCGCCCCAGCGCGGGTGCTGCGAGCGCGGGCGCTGAGGGGGACCGCCCGCCGGGCGACCTCAGCTGGCCCAAGGGCGAGAGGTCGCCCAGCCGCAGCCTGGCGCGGGACCCAGCGTGGGCGCACCGCGGCGACACCCCCCCGGCCGCTCGCGGCGTAAGACCGGGAAGCCCGCCGGGCAGCTTCGTGCCCCCCTCGGCGGCTGGCACGAGCAGGAGAAGAAGAGGAGGCGCGCTGCGGCAGCCGCGGCAGAGGCCGCCGCCGGCGAGGGAGGGGCCCCAGCCTGGCGCGGCAAGCGCTCGGGCGACAAGAGCGGCAAGGGCGGCGAGGTCAAGGGCAAGCAAGCCGGCGCGACTGCCAAGGGCGCCGAGGGCCGCGGCAAGGGCGACAAGGGCGGCAAGGGCGGATACTCCAAGGGCGACCAGGGCAGCCGCGGCCCGAGCGAGCGCGGCAGGGCCGGCGCGGACAGCCGCGCTTCGAGGGGCGGCGATGGTGGCAGCCCCCGCAGCCGCAGTGAGCGCGGCGGAGATCGCAGCGGCGACGAGGGCCGTGGCCGCCAGGGGGACACGCCATCCATCTAGGCGTGGCAGCGCCCCACATCCCGACGCCAGCGACCGCGGCATCGCGGGCTGCAGGCGGAAGACAGCGGCCCACTGAGGCGGACCGCCAAACGGGCCCAGGCCCGTGAGTGAGAGGTTGACTTTGAGCATGGCGCGCACGTCGCGCGCTATGCGGCCCCCTTCTTGCTGCGCGCTGCGCGGGCGGGGCCACGCTTGCGCTTTGCGCCCGTCGCATCACGCGCCGCTTCGTTTTTCTTTCTTACTTTGCGCTCTTCGCGCGCGCGCCGCGCCCGCGCTCCTGGGTGCGCGGGGCGCGGAAGGCCTCGAGGATGCAGGCTAGTGGCCGCGCGCGCGAAGCTCACCGGGCCTCGAGCCCCGCCCTGTGCCTCTGGCGGGGCGGCCCTGCGCGCGCTGCTGCGCTGTAACTTTCTCGTGGCCGCGCGGCCGCAGGCGTGCCAGAGCGCGAGCGCGTGGGCCGTCAGGGCCCACGCACGCGCGCCAGGCGTGGACCGCCAGGGCCCGTGCCCGTCGCCACGCTGCCATGAGTAAAAATGTCACCCCTCCGTCCCTGTCTCCTCCTCTCCTCCTCCTCCCCTCCCTCCGTTGAGTGCACGCGTATCTCACTGAACTTGTATAGTCTGATAGGTTTGTAGACTGCAGGTTAAGTGGGAGGGGGTGTGGGCTCAGGTAGCCATTTTGGGTCCGTAGCGTTCGGCTCAGGCCGACGCGCGGGTGCCCACCCGCCCCGCTTTGCTCCCTGACGCCTGGGCCGTGCGGCCGCAGGCGTGCCAGAGCGCGAGCGCGTGGGCCGTCAGGGCCCACGCACGCGCGCCGGGCGTGGACCGCCAGGGTCCGTGCCCGGGTGGAGGTACGCGTCGCCACGCTGCCATGAGTAAACATGTCTCCCTTCCGTCCCTGTCTCCTCCTCTCCTCCTCCTCCCCTCCCTCCGTTCAGTGCACGCGTATCTGACTTAACTACATGTTGACTGTCAATCAGTAGTCTGGGGAGCGGCCAATCACCTTATCGCGAAACGCTTATCGTCGCCGCATGCTGGATTATGGTGGATTTCTGGTCGGCCGACCTTTGAGTGTGTGAAGGTGAAGGTCCACCTAGAAGTGGACCAGGCCAGGTCGGAGCTGGAGCTGTGCCACATTCGAGGCAACCAGCTCGCAGACCATGCGGCCAAGCAGGCAGCCATGGCCGACAACATACCAGGCCGACCTCAAGGCGTCCCAGCAGGCCGTGAAACTCTGTCCCACGGACCACGTGCCAGATGTTAGTGCTGTGCCCCCCTTCCAGGGGCTGTATGGGAGCCTCCCGCGAATCGTTCGTGCTGCTGCTTTCCCGGCGCCTCCTCGCCCTCATTGTCTTGTTGGGATTGTGTGGCCAGAGGATGGAGATGCCAACAGTGCCACCGTCGAGGAGCGAAGCAGCTGGCGAGTTCTCGGTGTTTCTCTTCCCCTCCGTCTCTCACCGGGGCCGTCAGGCGTGCCGCGGACCCTACGTACTTACATCCTCTTTGGGTCGCGTTGAACGAAGGGGGCAACATTTCCTGTGATGTTCTGTGTGAGGTGTGGGCATATGGCGTCGGCGAGGGCGAAGCAGCTCTTTGCACCAGAGCCACCCATCCACTTCGTCCCCCAAGGATTTTCCCAAAATTAAGAAGGGTGCCCTCCCAGGGGGCAAGGGACAGAAGCGCTCTACCCCCTGGCCCATTTGGCAGAGTTTTGGAGCAGCCTTCTCCTGGCGCTGGAGGGTGCCAGGCGCCCTTGATCGGTGAGGTTTTTTGTTTTGTTCAGGCGGGGCCGCAGGCAGACCTTGAGCGCTTGAGCGTTTGAGCGTTTGAGGGGGGGGGGGCGGAGGGGGAGGAGGGGGGAGGGAGGAGGAGGAGGAGAGGAGGAGGAGGAGGCGAGGAGGAGGAGGAGGAGGAGGAGGAGAGAGGAGGAGGAGGAGGAGGAGGAGCGAGGAGGAGGAGGAGGAGGAGGAGGAGGAGGAGAGGAGAGGAGGAGGAGGAGGAGGAGGAGGAAGGAGAGGAGGAGGAGGAGGAGGGTGGAGATGGAGATGGAGATGGAGATGGAGATGGAGATGGAGATGGAGATGGAGATGGAGATGGAGATGGAGATGGAGATGGAGATGGAGATGGAGATGGAGATGGGGATGAGATGGAGATGGAGATGGAGATGGAGATGGAGATGGAGATGGAGATGGAGATGGAGATGGAGATGGAGATGGAGATGGAGATGGAGATGGAGATGGAGATGGAGATGGAGATGGAGATGGAGATGGAGATGGAGATGGAGATGGAGACGGAGACGGAGACGGAGACGGAGGCGGAGGCGGAGGCGGAGGCGGAGATGGAGATGGAGATGGAGATGGAGATGGAGATGGAGATGGAGATGGAGATGGAGATGGAGAGGCGGAGGAGGAGGAAGAGGAGGAGGAGGAGGAGGAGGAGGAGGAGGAGATGGAGTGGAGATGATGAAGGCGATGGAGATGGAGATGGATATGGAGATGGAGATGGGAGATGGAGATGGAGATGGAGATGGGAGATGGAGGTGGAGTGGAGATGGAGATGGAGATGGAGAGGAGATGGAGATGGAGAGGAGGATGGAGATGGAGGAGGAGGAGGAGGAGGAGGAGGATGAGGGAAGGAGGAGGAGGAGGAGGAGGAGGAGGAGAGAGGAGGAGGAGGAGGAGGAGGAGGAGGGGGAGGAGGAGGAGGAGGAGGAGTGAGGAGGAGGAGAGGAGGAGGAGGAGGGGGAGGAGGAGAGGAGGAGGAGGAGGAGGAGGGAGGAGAGGAGGAGGAGGAGGAGGGAGGAGGAGGAGGAGGAGGAGGAGGAGGGGGAGGAGGAGGCGGAGGAGGAGGAGAGGAGGAGGAGGAGGAGAGGAGGAGGAGGAGGAGGAGGAGGAGGAGGCGGGGGGAGGAGGGGAGGAGTAGGGAGGAGGGGGAGGAGGGGGAAGTAGAGGGAGGAAGGAGGAGGATGGAGGAGGCGGAGAGGAGGTAGGGCGGAGGAGGAGGAGGAGGAGGAGGAGGAGAAGAAGAGGAGGAAACCTCCAAAATAAAAATAAATACGACGAGGAGGAGGAGACGACGAGGAGGAGGAGGAGGAGGAGGGAGGAGGAGGAGGAGGAGGAGGAGGATGGGGTTGGGGATGGGAGAGGAGGGGGGAGGAAGGGGGATGAGGGGCGAGGGGGCGGAAGGGGAGAAAAGGGGGAGAAAGGGGGAGGAAGGGGGAGGGACGGGGGAGGAAGGGGGAGGATGGAGGAGGAGGAGGAGGATGGAGGAGGAGGAAGGGGGAGGAAGGGGAGGGAAGGAGGAGGAGGAGGAGGAGGAGGAGGAGCAGGAGGAGCAGGAGGAGGAGGGGAGGGGGAGGGGGAGGGGGAGGGGGAGGAGGAGGAGGAGGAGGAGGAGGAGGAGGAGGAGGAGGATAATGATGATGATGATGATGATGAGGAGGAGGAGGATAATGAGGAGGATAATGAGGAGGATAATGAGGAGGGGGAGGAGGAGGGGAGGAGGAGGAGGAGGAACCAATATGAAGTAGTCTTCCATTGGGATCTTTCCGTCCCCCGCCCGCGATGTCTTGGCCGAGCCTTTTTTTCACAAGGTGCCTGCAGTCCGCACGGACTCCTTATGGGGTTGGGGAGCGTCAGGATTAAGAACTGCAGTATCGTGGAAGAGTCCACGATGTTCTCCCCACGCGGCTGTTCGAGACAACTCTCTAGAAAAGTTCCCATACTTCCCACGCTTTGTTCGCCGTCCTCAGCCGGGCAACGCCCCACCCAGCTCTGGACAAGGCCGTGGCTGTGGCATGCTGACTGTATCCGTCAACAAATAGTTCACCCTCACCATTGACAGCAGACGGCTCGGTAGGGCGACGCCGTCTATCAACACGCACATCGGCATGTCTTCTCAGCTGTTCAGGCGGGTTGGCGCCCTCTTGGGACTCTCTTGCCGTCCTCGTGGGGGCCTTCCGGCCCATCCCAAAGGCCATCGAGCGAAGACGAGATGGGCTTCAAATGGCGCCTGCCTTGAGAGGGCCTGGCAGATGATTTCTCGGGGCCCTCTTGGGGTGACGCTCTTCGCGTGTTTTGGGGGGCTGTTGGGGCCCTTTCGGGGGCCTTCTGGGTTCTTCTTCTCAGGGTTTTACCAGGTAGTCTTCGGAGAATTCTCCCAAATAGCACCGCGCGCAGATCTTGAGTACTGGGCTTCTTGCTAGGGTTTCTTGCGTCCGCGGCCGCACAGTAAGTAGGTGGTTTCAGAGCGTCTGTGAACTGCCTTGACTCCACTTGGGCATGCCCTCGCGTAACTCAGCCCAAGCCCGCAG